GTATGGCGTGACTCGGCCTTGTGGGTGCGGTTATATTAAATCTATTATTCTATCCCAAGCCCAAATGTGTTAAACATCATATCGTTGGTTGTCACAATACGAAGTTTCAGTAAAGACAATGATGTGACTTCCTCGTAAGATCTTATAAATGACATGAATGTCATACAAATAGATTTCAACAGTTACCATTTATTATTCTTATCAGAATATAATAATAAACGAAAGAATATTGTAAAATTTGGGACTGGTTTTCGAATTATTATTATTTGTTGTTGTATAGTTGCTAAGTGTCTGGATTGTTATAGTTGTGTTTTTCATTTATTATAAGCTTTTGGCTAACTCATTAAATACTGTTATACAGTTCTATATTTTAGAATATTAAAGATTCCCATTGTGTTCTAATAGTACCCTGCCCCATTCACAACCACTTATGACTCGTTTATGGTGTGATACACTCCAGTATATCTGTATATAAACCATGTCTGTTTGAAATATTATAATGGACGTTAGCTGCTGACTATTTGAACTCAAGGCAGGGTATTGAGAGAACCTTGGGAATAATGTTTCAGTAGGAACTTAGCTACGTCGTAGTACCTGGTTAGTAGTGCTGGTGGGGTACATTAAACTATGGAGGAAATAGTAGATGCGCAGTTAACAAAAATTATAATTAGGTTTCTTATAGGTGACTTAGCACTTGGTATTGGCCATTCGTTTCAAGACATAACATACCACATGACCTCTATTGATCAAGTGTGATAGAGCAGAGCCCCTTTAGAATAACTGTTGGTCCAAAGCCCTACTAATGAAGAAGAATTGAACGTGAGATTAGCTATCCTACTCTGTAAAGAAGGCCGTCACGAAAATATGTTAACCAAGAAAAATAAATTATATTATTGTCCTGGGAGTAGAACAGTATTCACTTAGAAGTGTTGACATGTCCTCATGGCGAAAGTCGAGATTCTTAGTAATTTATATGAAAACGCCCCTTCTGATAACCAGAACAACAATTAATATTAGGCACACGGAATGTCCGAACAGTGTGGAAGACGAGGAGGACCATTCAAATAGCCGCATAATTGAGAAGACAAAATCGCCTTATGCTTCGCAAAAGCGAGGGGATAGTTTGTGAATAACTTAAATATTTGCCTAACCCAGGCCATTGACCATATGTCCCTGTCAAACTGCAAGTATATACATTTGTGCAAGTTGCAAATGTTGTTAGGATTTTGACCATAAATCTTTCTTCTCAATGGTCTTATTGTCCTTTGGAATACCTTATCGGTCAACCAATGAGATCATGATAATGAATGGATCGAACAGGAGAACTGACTTTTCTGACTCCACCATAGTACTAGACTTTCATTCTATTTTTTATTATCTGAATGGAACACTGAAAACATTGTTGACTTTGGCCGAAAGTCAATATGAAACGCTAATGACACATACTACTTAATACTATTAAGTAGCATAACACATTTCGTAAGTTTATTTTGAAGTGAAGTCATCTTAAGAGACCGACCAACATCCGTTGCTGAAATGTTCCCATACATAACTTCATCTTCATATAAGTATATAACCTTGGAGTAAAGCCAGATGAAAAGCGATATGCTTTTTTCAATAAATGACAGTATTTATGTTTTCAAGTTGACACTAACCTCTAAGGTAGTAGAAGAGGAATCTGAAGATGTAAAAACTGACATATCTGGTCAGCATCATCGATGAACACGCTGGATCTGATTCAGATGTGAAGGCGCAGATCGGCAAAGCAAGAGCAGCATACTTACAATTGAGGAACATATGAAACTCAAAACAGCTCTCTGTCAACTGCCAACACTAAAATCGGAATTTTCAATACAAACGTCAAAACAGTTCTACTGTATGGGGCGGAAACTTGGACAATTACGAAAGCCATTATCCAGAAGATACAAGTGTTTATTAACAGTTGTCTATGCAAAATGCTTTGGATCCGTTGGTCAGATACTATCAACCTACCCTCACACATATCACATGAGATTTGTGTGGCGCATATGTATTTGGTGCCTCTTTGTACCAATATCTTTGTGTTAAAATAAATAATAAATGGGAAAGAAGAAACCGGATCCCAGTGGAGGAAGAAGCGCTGGAAGTGGATAGAACACATATTGAGGAAAGCACCCAACTGCGTCACAAGACAAGTCCTCACATGGAATCCTCAAGGCCAAAGTAGGAGAGGAAGATCAAAGAACACATTACACCGAGAAATGGAGACAGACAGGAGAGAGTGAGTTGCAGAATGCTGGTCGTCAGCCTATGCTCTATTGGGGGTAACAGGCGTAAGTAATGTATAGGGAGAGAGGAACAGAGCAAACAGTATTTCAAGACAGACAGTCCCCAATGAAAATCTTATTATCGATCGATAATAATTTGACCAGAATAATATAAATTCTACCTTGTTAAGTGTAATGATAAGAAAAGTCAATGTAGGTAGTTACAAGTGAGCAAACAAATAGCTACAACTAATTTCTTCCCATTTTAATGTATTTCTTATTTCTATGATGTCCCAATTCCTGACGTCTTATTGCCTAATATAGGTCACTTTTTTTAGAGTAAATAAATAACTAGTCATAATTCTTTACTTATTGGGATATCACAAAAATAGATTCGTAACATTCTACCTAATGTTAAATTTATTTAAAGCTATCAAGTTCTTTTAATATCAGTATGAGTGTGGAGATTATTAGGTTTTTGATTGAGATCATGAAACGATTGATGACCACTATTAAAAACCTGGAAGCACTGGACAGCCGTTTCATCCTATTGTGGGACTTCTCAGCAGTGTGCATTCACGATCCCGCTCGTGAGATTCGAACCCAGGGCCTTCGGTCTCAGTTTCAGACGCTCAATCTCTAAACCACTGCGTCGACATCCAACAGTGTTAATGTCTAACCTTAACTGTGACCAGTGGAGCTAATCCGTGTCGGGTAGGGACAGGTATCTACCACAGTACAATGGAAAATAGTTGCGCAATTTCGCTCTTTTAGTAATCCAGTCAAATTGTGGTTGGATCACTATACTACTTATTTCAAAACGTGAATAGCTTGAATGTTTAAATCGATTTGAAGACGACCTTGTAAATATTCTCTCCACAAACTATTGAATGTTGTATTCAATAGATATTATCATTAGATGTCAATCTGAAAAACATCTCTTGAGGCAAATCTTTTCATGAGGAATAAGTTACAGTAAACTGACCAATTTATTGTACATGCCATTGTTCAACTGCTTCTGTGAAGCAAATTATTTATTTATTCGTTGAAGCTTCTTCTTCACCGTATTCAAAATCGTTTAACAAAAAGCAACATATATCATCTACATCCTCTATCCAGTAACACAGAGTAAATCCAACATTAGATAATTTCATTGATGTTTCGTAAGATTGCTTTAAACACTTCAAAAGAATTACGTCTAAATCGATTTGGGATTGTAGAAGATTTAACTATTCGGTTATATGTGATTAAAATTGTTACCAACTCCAAACTTTGATTAACCTTCATCATTCCAGCTGATTCGTCTAATCAAATGAATATTCCCTACATATTTTTGACTGCTCTACTCACTATATTACTATCCTAACAATCATACAAATAGTATCCCTGAGAACAAGTGAGCACTAGATAGCTATTTATCATGGTATGCAATTCCTGAATTATGATTTTTGTTGGTGCCAAGACTTAAGTCAATCCATAACGAATGTCACCTGCAAATTCCCACTAACCCCATAAATAAAAAATGTAATCATGAAATCACTAGTGACTTATTTTGAGATGAGTTCCTTAGGTTCTAGTGATAAATTATGACTGACAAAGTCCAGACATGTCGAGAGTATAATAAACATTGCATAACGAATTGACAACAGATGGGAATTGGTAATATCAGTCTGTAACTCAGTGTTCGCTATAAGAAATGTAGGTCCCGGGTTCGAGTCTTAACGAGGTTATGGATGAGCACTGATACAGATCAGTTTACTGGAACAAAGTACCTTCCAAGTGCGCCCTAGTTTCCAATGGTAATCTAACTAGTCAATATGTGACGAATAATAAGTAATAGAGAAACAAATCACCATCATAACCTTACATTAAGAAAAAACAAAATCTTATAAATTAACAATTCACTACACACATACACCTTTGAAAATGACATTCAAAAAGACCTTCCCACTGAAATAACTGTCATCTGTATGTTACAATGCTTTCAGTGGATTAGGATGGAGTTGTTTTTGATACCGCTTACTCTTATTTAGATAGTTTACTGGCATAGTATTTACTAGGGTTAAATAAGGTCATCATGGCCAGTATAATCGTATCATACAGTCTTATAATAGGATACTATTATTAAAACAGTCGATTATTTTATTGATTCGTGTACTCGGCATCGATCCACACTTAAAATATGAGAGCTAGTGATACTACACGACTACCCAAACAACAGTAGTCGGAGAGGGTTTCGACTGCAAAACTTAGTGGATGAAAATCAGTTTGGACAGTTGACTAACTTTCCTATTAGTTCAACTAGAAAAGGCGACTTAAATCCCATTACATGAACCTGTTCTACTCTAACCCCACAATGAAATTGTATAATTGTAAAACAACACGATAAAGTTGAAAGTATTAATATATTTTTTGCTCCTTAATATGTTTAAGAATCAGACAAAGGAAGCACAAAGGAGACAGAAGTAGTAGTAGTAGTAGTGGTAGTAGGGATAGTAATGGTTATTATTTTTTTTAATTATCACGGTATGTTTTTTGTGTCTGTGAAGAAAAAAAACATTCACTTAAAGAACTAAAGAAATACGAATAATTAAGGTATTTTTCGCTGTCTGTTTTTTGTTGCTGCTTATTAAGAATAGTAATAATAAGAACAAACCAATGAGTACTCCCACAAGATAATCGTTAGGATAAAACAAAACAAAAACAAAAAAGAACAAAGCGCATAAAGGAAAATTAGTGACAATAATTAATGCATTAACAATCTAAAAAATTAGCAGCCATTAATAATTCTAATGAAATTTCTGGAGCAATAGGAAATTCTGGTATTTCACTTGAACTATTTGTATAACGTACTTTATAAGCGAAATAACTGCATACTTTTTGTAATACATGTGATGGTATTTCACGAAAATGTACAACATTTGTTTCATTCTCTTGAAATTGACCTGTATTAAAAAAAATAAGAGATATTATTTAATATAATACAATAAATACTGATGTGAAAGCTAATGAGTTTTTTATGCCAGTCACTCAGTAATCAACAATGTACAACAGTTCAACTTGCCACACCATATTAGCACAAAGATGCAGTTGTCGATTCAAATCCCGTAGTGGTAGAGGCGGTAAGAGTATAAGCAGTAATCGGAAACATTAGGGTTTGAAGATGTTATTCAAGGAGTATAATACAGTGAAATAAATTTGGAAAGAGAAAAAAGAGACAAGAAGGAATAAGGAGATCAAAATTTTGGAGAACACAAAGAGTGTATGCACCTGTGCCATTGCAAACGATTTTGAAACATGTCATTTAGGGTATCTAACCATCGGCTGCTATCATCTCGCGGTCCCCAACCAGGTAGTCTACATGTACCAACATGACTCAGTCCACTTGTCAGTGACTTCATGGACCTGTGCCATGTCTGGCCGCCCCTGGCTTTCTTCCAACCTACTCCTATACCACTGAAAATCGCACGTCGAGGCAGTCGGTCATTGGGCATACGTAACATGTGTCCCAGCCATCTCAACTGATGAAGTTTCACCACTTCATCAATCGATTTGCCATCCTTACCTAGTACCCGTTTCCTAACAACTGTGTTACTTACTCGATGGTCCCATGATATACGAGCAATGTTTCGAAGACACCTATGATCGAATACTAGTAACCTACGAATATCTTCTACTCTTACTGGCCATGTTTCACTGCCATAAAGAAGGACGGGACGAACTGCTGCGCAGTAAACACGCCCTTTGGTTGATAGACGGATATCTCGCCTACGCCATAAATGACGCAAGTTGGCAAAAGCTAGTCGAGCCTTCTGTATCCGTGGTGAGATTTCGTCACACACCAGACCACAAGAGCTGATGAGACTACCAAGATAAGTGAAGCGGTCGACACGCTCAATTACTTCACTTACTATCATTAGTTCGGGTGTCAATGCAACCCAATCCTGAAGCAACATTCTGCATTTCGAGGGAGAGAATCGCATCCCGAACATGCTTGCATCGTTGCTTAGAGTGGTCAGAAGACTCTGCATTTTGTCAGCGTCTTCACCATGATTAGCACGTAAGCCATCACATTGCCCTCCATGGGTCGATAAGGAAACCTGAGAGCTGCTGAGGAAACGCTTCTGGGACGAATTCTTAACAGGCCACGAATTTCTTAAATGTGAATACCAAAAAATCCGGAATATGTGCAAAAAACAATAGTTGCGAGCTGCACTACTTACGAAAGATAGTTGGTATGCGATAGCCGTACTTGTCCAAGATGATTGTTTTTTATACATCAAATAAAGAACAAAACGTTAATGGAGTCTTTCCAAACTTACGATGAGCGCTTAAGACGCCTGAACCTTTTCTTTCTATCGTATCGCAGAATGCGAGGTAACCCTATATTGGCACTTTATATCTTTAAAAACGGTCTTATTTTGATGCTTCATCCAGACTAAAAATCTTCGAGGTCATAGCAAGAAGGTGCAAAACCGTGATATAATAAACTGTTCTGCTTCTCTATTTGAGTGGTCAATGACTTAAACACCTTACTTGAACAAGTGACACCATCTTTATCGGTGAACATTCCCAGGAAGCTGAATTCTCACTGGGAGATAAGATGAAAGGACCAGCACATGTTCACCGGTCTTCTATCCTTATAACAAGACTGATAGGAATGCCGAGTTTTGAGCTGTTAAGACAGATCCAAACGTCACGAGGAATGTTTGATAAGTGTCAGAAATTGCATTGGAATAAGACCTTATAAATTATGAAAGAGGCGATAACACTCAAAATTACTATGACGCAATATATCTCAATATTGCTAACAATAATGTATGGACGTTATGTAACCTGACCAACCACAGCTTATAACTGTATAAATAATGTTGATGAAAATTAACTAGGATTTTATGGTGAAAACGAATTTTAACTTGGAAAATATGGTGGTTAAATAAAAACAAATTAACCCACCTGGACCCGAAAGCATTGCTTTTATGGTGCCACTCGTAAGAGCATGCTCTCGACGGACGTAGAACTCATGGTCGTCTGACGATACGAGCTTTACATACATAGCATCCGCCCCTTCAGCACCCCCATACTTTTGTTCTGCACCAGCACTCGACTGAACCTCAGTCATCCCAATCAAGTAAAGCGCGAAAACCCAGACGCAAGCGGCGCGAGTGACCTTCAGGAAAATGGTTTCAATTGAAGGGGTACGAAGTGGGATGAAGCCTACAGACTCGAATCTGTCAGACATAACTAGCAAACTGTTTGTTTCTTAAAACATGATTTTTTACAGAGAGGTTATGGAGAATTGTGTTTGTCTTTATATTTCTCTTAGCGATTGAAGAACAGAACAATCTAGATGAGAATAAGTTATCGAGCACTTGCACTTATAACAATCCCTCTTAGTACCTATATGAGTAAATCAATCGTTCAATTTTCCCTTAAAAGATTCAAAAAATTGGTTCGTGACCATAAATACCAGTAGAGTCTCACAACTTACTGATTCAAGCTGAGGAAATCTTTGCTAAATTTTTTGTGCTATTTCTCTTGTTTTCTACATCGATTAGATCTCCTCTTAAGTTTTACTTAGTACTGAAACGTATCAATGGTTTTTCTAAGGGCAGAGAGCTATGAGCAATATTACCACATTATCCTTCCATGATACACTGGCTGTAAGATAAGGGCTTCTAGGCGAGTCGAGTAGGATTAGTTTTCCAATTTGAATGCCCTTTTAATTTTCACTTCTTTGAATACGCTCCATGTAAGTAGTACTCTTCTTGAGGTAAGGGGATGTAAAACATGATTTTTACACAGATGCGATTCTAGGTAAACTCCGAGACAATTTTGAATAATCCTATAGACAGGTTATCACCCGTTCTGGGGGAAACCCCGAGGATGAATCTAATTTGTTGACTGAAGAATGTTCATGAGAAGAGACACCTAGAATATCCTAAACGTGGGTACATTCAAATGGTTCAAATGGTTGTGGACGGAATAGAAGAAGCTTTCGCTTAACAGGCTTCCGTGTCTAGTAGCAGGGGATCACCAAATCCTCCAGGCAGGAACCTAGGTATGTTAACAATAAAAGAGGAAAAGAAATTGGTAAATCATAGTGTGATGCTGTCCTTGGTCCTTAAGAATAGGTCAAGTTGCCTCTTGAAGGACTCCTGAGAAGTCGCTTGGACTAGCTCGGCTGGCAGCGAATTCCAGCTTTTGACAACTCTTAAGGAGTAGAAGTTGTGTCTACATTCCGTCTTGCTATGTTGTGTTTCCAGTTTCTGGGTGTTACCCCTTAGGTTATTATTCGAACTAAGCTTAAGTAGGTGTTTAAGAGGATGTCCAGAAGTGTTAAGAATACTATAAGCCATTAATAAATCACCTCTAAGACGCCTATATTCTAATGGGTAAAGGTCTAGTGAACGGAGGCGTTCTTCGTAAGGCTTAGATTTGAGTCCTCGAACTGATTTCGTGGCTCGCCGTTGGATACGCTCCAAAGTGACCTTGTCCTTTTGGAGTGAGGGAGGGAGTACTATGTTTCCGTACTCTAAATGGGGACGGATGAAACTATTGAAGATTGTGTGGAAAGTTCTTCCGTCAAACTGTCCAAAAATGCGCTTCAACGTTACCAGTGCAAGGTTTGCTCGGAAGGCATTTTTGTCACAGTTAGCGTAAGACTTTAAATCATGGGGCACCAGGACTCCTAAATCTTTTTCGACTTGGGATACTACTAGAGAGGAGTTTCCTAAGTTGTAACTGTAGTTTGCGACATGTCGCAGATGGACTACTTTACACTTTGAAGTGTTAAAGGTAAGTCCGTTATCGTCTGCCCAACTTTGAAGTCGAGTCAGATCCTCCTGAAGTGCCTGTATATCGTCTTGGTTGCGTATCTCTCTCCAAAGTTTCACGTCGTCGGCAAAAAGTAATAAGTCTGACGTTACCTGTTGAGGAAGATCATTTATGTAGATCAAGAAGAGAAGAGGCCCTAGTACTGAGCCCTGGGGGACCCCACTAGGACATTCCATAGCCTGAGATAAAGTGAAATTAACCCTAACCTTAAAGTGTCGATTTTTTAGGTATGAAGTAAGCCAATCGATTAGAGGTGGTTTGATACCTAGTCGTTTGAGCTTGTTGATAAGACACAAGTGGTTAACCTTATCAAAAGCTTTTGAGAAATCAAGGTAAATGACATCAACCTTTCCCTTGCGATCGAGGATGCTTGTCCATCTGTCCACCGCAGTCAGCAGGTTGGTTATACAAGAGTAACCCTTCCTGAAACCATGCTGTTGGGGTGAGAAGAAATTTAAGGACAGTAGATAGTCATTTAAACCGTCGCATATCAGGGACTCCATGAGTTTTGAAGGTAATGACAGAAGAGCCACCGGCCGATAACTTGAAGGTTCATTGCGTCGACCACCTTTGAAAATTGGTGTGATGTGAGCCAACTTCCAATTTTCCGGTAATTTGCCTCGGCTAAGCGAGTGTGAAAACATCACGCTAAGCGGCGTTGCCAGGATTGAGGCTGCCTCCCTCAGTATGGCAGGATGAACCATATCCGGGCCAGGAGAAGTGTCTAGTCTTAAGTGCTGCAATTTCCGGAACACCAAGTCAGCGCTTAGGTCCACTTCAGAAAGTCCTGTGGAATTGCAGATGAAACTGTCGTCAGTAAAGTTGATGTCAGCCGGTTGAAATGTTTGAGAGTAATGTGGCGCCAGAAGGTTAGCGGCGTCGCCGTTAAGACCTAGCAGTTGAGAAACTCCTCTTTGGCTTGACGAAGGGAGGCTGCATAACGGAATGGGCTTCTACATTGGTCGTTTTCGGTGATGGAAATTGCAATGCTAGGATCTTCTATGAATTGCGTGTTATATGGAGAATCATTCGTGTCGTTCAATAGATTTTCAAGAGGAGCCCCCACAACAGTAGCAGTTCACGGTCTATTTCTTAAGGTCAGGGCCCAGAATACGTAAATAGAAATAAAAAGAAAGTTTTAATAAGTTAGTAGTGAGTGACATTTTGAGGTTAAGAAAAGGAATCATGTTTTCTTAATAAGCTTTCCAGATCAATGTTTGAAATAAATTCGAACGGTACTTAATTCCATGAATAGACTGCTGTTCTCTCATAGAAGCTATTCTCTAAAACAAGCCCTTTCTGTTGGAATCCCAGTACTCCTTCTATAAATTTGTGGAAGTTGTTTATTAGTGAACAGTTCGGAGGATATCCAAGAATTTGCGAAGTTACGCTCCATTACTGTACCTTTTCTGAATCTCCCAAATCCTATTTGGAAGAGGTCCAGTGTTTACTAGCATTCATCACAGGAATTGAACGTCAGACATTGGAGTGATTCTGTTGTTTGGCTTTATATATATATCATAAATGTTTTCCTTTTATAAGTGAAAAAGGTAACACTCTACATGAGGCCGGATGGAATTAATCTGAGTTTGCTGAGAGCTCTTATCACCAACCTGCAAAGAACGTATTTAAGTTGATCGTGCAAGATCAACTTGGAAGGAATATTTGTCACAGAAAGCATGCGAGTCGAGGACGTTCTGTATATGCGACGATAAGAGCCATTTTGACCTGACGCCCACGTTAAGAATTGAAGATACGAACGAGATTAAAACATAAGGTTTTAGGATTTAAAGGAGAATTTTGATCGCGAAGATCAAGACTTGTCATCACCTATCGTTGGGATAGAATTCTTATTTCATTTTAATTTGTTAATTAATCTGAAATTATATTAAATTGCAGCCAATAATTCCAAAGTAATCCTGCCTGGAACCCTTTTGAGGCTACTGCCGGTCTCAAGTCCGGATAAAAAGGGAGGGTTAGGCACAGTGTTAGTGGTCACATCCCGTGGAAAATTAACTCTGTAAAAAACGCTAACCAGAAGAAATATCTCAATTTGGTTATACAAAAATAGTAACAAGTAGATCATTCATTAGTTCAGTCATATCAACAGGGATAATAAGTTCATGTGTTTTTGATGATAGATTACGCACCTTTGAAGAAAGCCACATATAACAACACGAAAATGAGTTATTCTGCTAAACATTATAGTGTTACTAAGGGACCACTAATAAACAGAAAATCACAAAGGTCGGGACCAAAATTATAACAAGAAACGAAAGAAGAATTCTGAGACCCATTGAATCGATCGTCTGATAATTACTAGTGTGTCGGACTATGACCATCTCCATTACATCATATAGCCAGTTACAAAACCACAGAAATGTGGATGGTAATTCTTATCAGCATTTATTTCCGACAAAACGGTTGCATGCTATGGTTACGGAAATAAATTATGATTTACAGCAACGGTAAGAGCATTGTAACGACTTTCACTTGAAAACTGTTGGTGATATATTTGGATGCAAACCACTTTGGAACGTACTAAGAAAAACTACTCTTAGTATTGATACGGCCCGCAAACCGATTACTTGTGTATTAGTTGTGAAAAATTACGACTAATCGTTACATAAGATTGGAAATTAAGAATTTACCATCTACATGTGACGTTAAGGGTAATAAAAATATGTCGGCCGACTTGTTGTCACAGTCTGAGATGCACAAGTTACTGGTAACACAAACGCGAAGAGCTGATGAAGTGAACATATGGTTGGTGAGTCAATAAACATTGTTGAAATTAGAGATGCTACTCCTCACTAACACTGTGAACGTAATTTATGAAGTCGCCATAAGTCAGCCGAGAACTTTTATGCTGGTGACACTAAGATGGCAAACATCTAACAAAATGTGAAACACTTCCTACGTCGGTATATGAGCAACAGTAAAACCAGTTAGCGACCTGCAGATGACTTTAATTGTGTTGCAGCATATGACAACGTGTGCGAGAGTGTTTATCATACTAACGGGCTAACGTTCGGAAGTATACAGTCATGCTCACCTTAGCAATTGTAGACCCGGAGAAGCAAATCGAGCACATGCACTCAAAAGCTTGTACCGCCGTATCTTTCGAAAAGATGGTGCACACAGACATATGTAGTTGGCTTAGCCATACGATCCTTAGCCGTCGGCAGCAAAATTACACAACAAAATATTCAAACGTACTCCGCACTCTTTTCAGGAAGATCTGGGATGAGGAACAAGTGCCGACGGACTGGAAAGAAGGATATC